TTTTTCCCATATTGTGGCGTTTCCCACATAGAGGTGATTCGTCTTCCCTGGTTCCGATGCATCCTTCAGCGCCCTGCATATTTGATCTTCACGCACCCCTGGTTGCGACCAGATTGTGTGAACTTTGCTTCTACCGTAGCGGCTGTAGTCTATTTTCATGATACCCGCTGTCCTAGTCTTCCAGATGACATGGTGACACTTGTCATTGATGATCTCATCGATTTCTTCCATCTCTGCTGGCCTCTCCTCTGTCGAGCTCTCATCTTCTGGGGACTCCTCTCCCTGCTGTACGTCTCTCGCACCGTCCTCTCCTTCTCTTTCCGGTGTCTATTCACTCAAGAATTGTCGAACATCACGTGATAGTCCACCACTGTCTTCCTCGACTGCGTTAACCATTATGGCTCTCGACAGCCAATCCGCCACTACATTTTCCTTTCCTGGCTTATAAACTATGTCGATATTATATTGGCCGAGAAATTCCTTCCATCGCGCGACCCTTGCGGAGGATTCTTTTAATTTCCCGACCCATTGAAGGGGCCTGTGATCGGTGTGGACCCTGAACTTTCTTCCAAAGACGTAAGGTCGAAAATGATCGATAGCCCACACTATCGCGAGCAACTCCCTCTCCAAAGCGGTATATCTCGTCTCAGCATCGGTAAGACGTCTACTCGCATATGCTACGGGCCGCTCTCCTCCTACTCCATCCTGCGACAGTACTGCTCCCAGCGCATACCAAGATATACGTATAATATATCGTTGGAAAGCGGAGAATTTTAGAAAAAACAATATCGAATATAGATCGTTGTAAAAGGAAACGGAGATTGGCAAAAAAAATTATAAATAATATTTTTGGAAAACTAATAATATTTAACGTAAATCACATGTTTTCAAGGAAATTAAATGAAATTTACTAACTAAATGCAACCTTTTAAAATATTTTTAAGATTGAAAGAAATATTTAAAATCCACCTAATAAAGGCAATGACATTGTTTAAATAACTATTTCATTGTACTTATGTGAAAAGAAGAAGTAAAATATAAAATCATTTCATGCATATGTTTATAACCTTAAATATATTTACTGTAGTTTAATAATTTTATTAGAATCCATAATCAATTGATCGTACAATCCATAATCAACTGGTGATATAATAAATAGGACTTTGGTTATTTTAATGGTATTTATGATTTGATAGCTGTATTTTTTTAGCTTCAGCTCAGTTAAAAATGCAATTCAAAAATTTTATAATAGCCCGATATGGCCAAAAATAATTTCTATTCAAAGTTGAGCGATAAGTGAAATTTGTGTGTTGCCCTCACCAGATTTTTTATATTAAATTAATTGAAGCTTATGCAGCATTTTAAAGTAACTGAACAAAGAATAGAGCTAAAATTAATTATTATCAAAAAAGTTCGTATAAACAATAGCCTAATTTTCAGCAGAAAAATAAAAAATTAAGATTTGTATGTTTTTAATTAATATATATATATATATATATATATATATATATATAAGTTAAGGTAAGGAGCGGGACAGTATTAGCGTTAATACCAAAAGCATTGATGTAAACAATCTCAGAATGTATATATAGAGGATTATAAGGAACAATAAACCAGTCTCGATTTCGACTTCATGCGTTTTATTCCTTGAACCTTTTACTTTTTTTTAAGTGTTTTAAATCCGCTACGTTTAACTGGTGCCGAAACCCGGGACGGTGAGAGTGCAGAGGTACGTTTTTTTTCAATCATAACTTTTAATTATGAGAGATAATTGATTATTTAAAATAAACCATATTAAAGGTACTTTAGTGGAAGACGCATATGAACATTGGGCATTTAAGCCCTGTAAAGTGACATAAGGATAAGGACCAAATGATATTAAACACCACTTAATTATACGACGATACACCGAGTTTAATCAAAATCGTTGGAGCCGTATTTGAGAAAATTGTAAAAATGTGTTTCAGCGTTCATATAAAGTGGCACTTCCGGTTAGCCGATTTTAAGGAAAAAGTTGCTGTCACATCCGGCCCATATACAAACCTTAAATACTTGATATCAGTTTCGTACTACTTTTCGTTTATGAGCTAGACTGTTAACACACACACAGACCATTTTGCGACACTTGGTTATTTGGACTCAGGAAACCTTAAAACACGTATTTGATAATTGAAAACTGAGATTCGAAAATTTTCACGATCACTTACTATGTATTTCATATATACGTAAGTGAAAGTAAAAAGTAAAATATAACATTAAAAATTAACGTTTATGTGAAATAAATAACAATAAATAATAAAAGGCTTAGCGAATCCGAAGGTTCGATGCCGACACCACCAATCGCTTATTACACACCTCCCTCCACCGTTCGCCGTCCAAATCCAATCCCTTCAGATCGGCTTTAATGCAATCTTCCCACCTTCGCTTCGGCCTACCCCTCGGACGCTTACTATTCGGCACAGCAAATTCGCCGCGACGAAATTACCTCAATTATATTACCCGGATACAATTCACGCAATTCGGCGTTGTGTAACCGTCTGAACTCTCCGGTGTTTATGTGAAATGTAACATTAATATGGGATAAAACATTTAAAATTATAAATGTTATACTTCCAAAAAAATCCAGCTATATAGCTATGGTCATTTTGCAAATAAAGTAAAGAAAAGATACCTAAAAGTAAGATTAGAAAAGAAAACTAATAAAGATGTCTAAAAATGCCGTTTTTTCCTCATAAAATTGTAGATATTATAGTAAAAAGTACTAATATATTTTTAATAATATAAACGAATTTTCAAAGGATTCGGTTTCTATTTGTTTCCGCTTGTAGCAACATCATTTATATCTTTCGAAGCAGGATAAGAAGAAATCAATATAAGTCAATTAATAATTACTTCTAATAATTGCAGAATTTTCTATAGATAGTTTAAAAAATTACATTTTTTACTAGAACCGCATGAACCTAAAGGCTTACCAGATGATAGTTGAGCTCAACACCACCCTAAATCCTGAGAATTTTATACCCCTCTCCCTCTAATTGTTTACTTAATTTTATATTCATATTCATTTATATGGCAAGAGTGAGGTGATTTGTAGAATTTTATTCTATTATAATTAGCTGGGTAGAATGTATATTAGGAAGGTTAGGCTAACAATAGTCATAATTTTATAGTTTTACATATTTTCACTATTTATGGATTTTGAACCTATTTTAGAATTGGAATCAGAAATAATTATTTTACGTTTTTGAATAATAATTAAGTTAAAAAATAAATGGTAATTAAGTAATAAATAGAATAGTGTATGAAAATCTTTCTAATGATTATTTCAGAAATAACTCATTTAGAAATATATGGCTTTATTTATTAATGAATGTTTAAGTTACATATATTTTTTTTAAACCGTTTATATATATATACGTACGCAGCTTTCATATTATGGGGCAATAGAGAAAAATTATTTTTGGAAAATTTATTATTACAATTATAATTGCCTCTCTCCCCTCCTCTGCCTATGCCCATGTCGCGAATTCATTATTATTTTGTTTTAAAGTATTTTTTCCCTTTAGATAATAATTTTAGATAATGGCCATAGGCGATAAGGATACTGAAGCCGTTCGAGTAGACAAGGAGACCTGCAAAAAAGTTAATATTTTCAAGTATCTGGGCTCTTATTGCTACACTACAGAGTCATTTGAACATGACATCAGGAGGAAGGTGAAGCAAGCCCATAAGGCTACCCGAATCCTACATTCAGTTCTCTGGAACAGCTTTCCACCGATAACAAACGTAGAATATTCACAGCTATAGTGGAAGTTATTCTTACATATGCCTTAGAAACATGGACTATGAATTCCTGTTTTTACTGAAAGGTGCTGGTGGTCAAGATGGATTACTAAGGAAAGTGGTCCGTTTTACCGGACTTGATAAAATTAGGCATGAAGTAGTTCGACAGAGAATGGATGTGGGTACAGAGGTTAATGAAAAGATCGGGGCATGCTGCTTAAGATGGTATGGGCATGTGTGAAGAATGATGGAGGAATGTTGGCCGAGCCGAGTCCTGCATTGTGTTGTCCCAGAGAAGAGAGGACGTGGATGGTCTAGAAGCAGGTGGATGGAGAGGGTCCAGGAGGGAATGGGGGGAGGGGGTCGAGGTTTGGAGAAAGATGATTGGCGAGATAGAAGTGCGTGGAGCTCTGCGCTGACGATGTGAGGCAACCCTTAGATGGATAGAACTCCTATAAAGTAAAGTAAAAAAGATAATTTCATCTGAAATAATTGCAAGAGCGTTGTCAAAAGGGACTATGTTTTTTAAAATGGCGAGCAGGGTGGAATTAATTTGAAAATAGAGAAATTAGTCTTTATTTCCTAATTAGTCTCTTTCAGAATATTTAAATACTATCAACCGACCTGTCACTGACCTGTCCCATAGCCAAAGACAAGGCATTAGTTATATTTATTATATACACAGAATAAAGGTACCTCATACCGATATTTCAAACAAGCAGTGCCCTTTGAGTCAATGCTGAAACTGGAAATACTGTAGACAATCCTGCTGTTGTATTTAGTACTTAGGATTAAGTCATATCTGCCGCTCTTCCAAGTATGCGGCACCCTTAAATATTTTTTTATATATACTTAAACCTCAGAGTGCTTTTATTATCTTTATTTCCTGGTTTAAAAGTTATCTTTAAATTGAAAGCTTAATGTGTCCCTCCCCCCAAATTTCTGATGGCGCAACTTGTGCCATGAACAACCCCCCTTTGGACATTCCTGTGTACCTTATGAAATTATATAACTGTGGAATGAACCATCTAGTTTTATCAGATCTTAATATAATGCATGTTTAACAATCCTGGTGGTATATATTTTTGATTAAAAAAAGAAATCGGCTTAATAATGGAATGTTAAACCTATAAGTGAACTTTCATAAAAAAAAAAAAAAGTCGAATTGAGAACCTCCTTTTTTAAAGTTGGTTATAAACATTCAATGTCACAAAATTCACATGTTGTTTTTTTATTTTAAAAAAAATCACATGTTTCCAGACACTTATCTAGTAACAACAAATAAATTTGTTTAATATTTTTCCTTCAAAACCTATTCAGCACAACTATTATCTTGGTGACACTATACTAATGTAACACTAGTGATAAGTAACAATATGACATTTTGAATTCAACAAGTGGTTGCTCAGGACTGATATTTTTATCCTCTTTGCTAGAACAAATGCAAATTACCTGTTGCTGTAGATTTTATCTTGTGCAATAGGTTTAATTATTGGTATTTCTAAGTATTTACATGGACACCTGTAACAATAAACATACTTTTTTTTGTGAAAAACCTATGTAGTCCAGAACTGAGATAATACTCATAAGAGATTAACAGTGTTGCACAAAATGCATCACCAACTATATATGGTAACACTTGTGATCTAACACTGGTGACAAAAAAGGTTTAATTGTTTAATTAAAATATTATAACATTTTGAAAAAAAAAAATTGTACTTAAAAACTTGAACAAGATAAAATAAATCTGAGGTATCCTATAGAAGGAAATCCTTTAAATATTAATTTCAAGCTATCAATCCCGAATAGTATAGTTTGAATATATTCATTAACACTCGGAAACATAACACTCGTGACAATTTTTATAATTTAATCATTTTTAATTTACTATCTAAAAATGCCAGAATAAGCAACTACTACTTATCTGGTTTATAATTGTTTTGAAAAACATATACATAATATTCAGTTTGGGATGTAGTATATTTATATAGAGTAATTTAATGCAGTAATCATGAAACAAACTTTTTTTTTTTTTTATGTTGCATAAAATAAATACTGAAACAGATCAATGTACACTAACTCATTTCATGGGTTCGACAAACAAAAATTAACCGTACAAAAATAATTAACTTTTAGCATCTAAGTTTTGCATTGCAATATATAATGATTGTGCAGTAGATTTGCTCAGACTTATACACCTGATAAAATTAAAGTAATTCCTTAAATATAATAAGTTTACAAAAATATAATATGCTTAACATCTGCAAATTCAAATATAATAAATCACATAATATCTAAACATAACACCTTTCTTTATCGGCAATTTTATTTAATACATGCTAAGCTATTATCCTAATCTTATTTATACATTTCCTGTAGAGTGATCTACAATTTACAATATTATTATGTTATCAGTCCAATAATTGGGTGTTTTAAATTTCTATTTGGGTAACAATTTTTACAATTCTTTCTTTCTATACATTATAATACATACAATTACATATAATAATAACAATACCACTAAAAAAGATTATTTCAACCAGAAAAGCTTTCACACCAATGCAAGTTCTTTTGTTTTTTAATTTGAATTTTGGTCTATTTACTAGTTGCATTGACAAAGCTTACTATTTATTTTATTTTATATATATTTTTAAATGGGCTATAGAAATTTAGTTGAATAGGAATACATATTTAAAAACTATAATAATCAACATTGACAGGTACAGTAAAAATTATGAATTTTGAAAAAGAGCTAAATAACAAGTTCCACTTTTGTAACACATGGAAGTACTTCTAAAACATAATTTTACATTTATATCTGTTTCCTCCATAATGTAACCAAAAATAATGTGATTAATAGTTTATATCCATAATTAAGAGAAGAAGCAGTGCTACTACCCGCAGTAGAAATAGTTTTATTAGTGGCATTTAAGCGTGAACCCTCATCATTCATCATGGTTTTCTCTCTCTTGCTATCATCACTTATTTCATTTGTAGAAATACTGTTACTCTCAGTTGTCAATTGTAATGTTGTGGGAACAAGAGTTGTGGTTGTGGTAGTTGTAGTAGTAGTTGTAGGAACCAATGAGAAATTTCCTGTAAAATAAGAATAATCAATTTGTTTTTAAGTCTTTCTGATACTTCTATTGTTTAGTTTTAATTTTATATAATTAGATATCAGTATAGTCATTCAAATTCTTGTTTATAATAACTAAATGAGAGTTCGTGTATACAGAATACTAAATGAAACAGAGATAAACAGGGGTTGATCAACAGGTAAGTGGACTAAGCGACAATGGGCCCTGAATTGCAAAAGAACCCAATTGGGCTTCGAGATTTTAAAATGTCTCAACTTAATGATTAACATGTCTAGCAGATGGGTCTCTAGCACATTTGGGCCCAAATGCTTAGAATGGTAATATCTAGTGATAAGAAAATTATGTAGTTGACAATGTTTTAACATGCAGTCCACTTAAGCTCACAAAAATCATAAGAGAAAATGTTTTATATAAAAAGGATTAAAATATGGAGTTGGTTAAACTTGCCATGCTAGTTCAAAAGCTTGAAATGGGGGTTATAATGAATGATAATTAGGATAGAAGATGCAGAATACCTGTGAAAAATATATCACTGAATTCAGGTTTTGTATCTGTCATTCTAATTTCTTGGTGTATTCCTTGAATGGTTCTAGCTCCATGTGCCCCATCTTGGTATATTGCAATGAGTTTTGCCGTGTAAGGTGTCTCTGTTTCTGTAATAATTCCTTTTAAAGTAACATTTACTGCTGTTCCTGGGTGTAAAAACATTTCTACCCTGTAAAAATATTGTATCATCTTAAAAAATATAAATTTAACAATTTGAAATATGTATATATTTTTTTTTTGTAAAAGAACTATTTATTCATCTATAAATGAGTAATGGCATCATTGATCTAACACTATAATACTGAATATTTCTATATCTTTCAGTTTGTAATTTTCTGTTTTGTTTTTTGTAAATAACATTGAATGATAGTAATGGCATGTAAAAAAATACAACAATTAAAATAAGATAATAGCTGTCTTACATCTGTAATTATAAATTTTTTTATTATTATTTATTTATATGATATTTTACAACTGTATACAAAAAATACATCTGGTAAATTCGCACATTGGTATAAAGACATGGAACACATGTTGAGAAGCTACCCATTGGTAGCACTCTAAATTATAAATTTAAATCAAATTTTAGCAGGTCGAAACATTTTCAGTTACCCTTATTTTTTTTTTTAATAATAATAGCTTATTTTTTTTTTTTTAATAATAATAGTTTATTTATTCTGGAACGAGTCCCTTTAGAATAATACAGAAAGACAGAAATGTTGGCTAAGGAGCCTCTGAGATACATAAACAAAAATACAGAATAATTAAACAGCCATAGTAAAAAAGAAAAAAATATAAGTTATTTTCTAATTTCAATAAGTTAATAATAAAAAATTAAAAAAAAAAAAAAAAAAGATGAAGTAAAAATAATGAAGAACGAATTAAGAATTTATATACATATTTACAATTTCACGGGGACTAGATGGATAAGAAATTATTGAACAGGCGGGATTTAAAGGTAGAAAGAGTATTGGATTGAGGAATGTGAGAAGGGATGGAGTTTCAAAGGGATGAGGATAGGATAATGAACAATCTGTCGGAAGCAGTGGTTCAGTGGACCCTTATTTATAAATCAGGAGACCGGGAACGAGTATTGCGGGAATAAACAGAGGATTTGAATTGAAGGAGCTCGGAGATGTATGAAGGACGGTGGGATTGGATGACTTGAAAGAGGAAGGATAAAGCCACTTTAACTCTGCATAAAAATGGGAAACAGAGGCGTCCCTTGGGATCCTGAAGATGAATTGTACAAAAGAATTTTTCAAACGTTTTAGTTTTGCCTCAAGTTTCCCAGAGGCGTCCCTATATACTGTAAAGCAATATTCAAAGTGGGGAAAAATTGAGGAAGTGAGTAGGAGCCTACGGGTTTCAAAGGGAAATAGGTGACGAGAATAATTTAGACATTTTAGAGTGGAAATGTGGGAAATATTGGATACATGGTTTTTACAGGAAAGGTTATTCCAAGGTTCTTGATGGTGAGGTAAAATTTGATGGGATTATCATGCAGGCACAGAGCTGGAATATTAGGAACAGTTTTAAGGAGGTAGTTGAAGCCTATTAAGATTGCCTTCGTCTTTTCTGCATTCAACTTCCACTTGTTAGCTCTTGCCCAGTCACAAATTCTATCCAAGTCTTCTTGAAGTTTTTCTGTGACTGATAATAGATCGGAGAGCGGGAAGGACAGGTATATTTGGAAATCATCTGCAGAGATATGGTATTGGGAGTGATGGATCAGGATAGGTAGGTCATTAATGTATATAGCAAACAGAGTAAGAGACAGAGAGGAACCGTGATGGAAACCACAGGAGAGGGGAAGATTCTTAGATGAAGGTTAACCTGGGACTGGGTACAAAAAATGTTACTTTATCATTAAAAAAAAATCAAAAGTGTATTTTTAAAATGATGAACCCAATAATAAAGATCTAAAAGTGAAAGCTAGTATAATTGAAGTATATTGACAAACATTCCTAAAAGTGTTTAAAGGAAGACGTATTTATACTGGCATTGCATCAACGATATTAAAACTCTTGATGTTGTGACATATATCTACTAATGGTAATTATTTTTTATGTTACTTACTTGCAGACATTTTGCCGATTTTCATCTTCACTGATTCCCCATTTGATCTCTTCTAGGTGATTACTTGTTGAGTTCCTGATAACAGTTGTCAATCCTTTTAGCATGGCTTTGCCTTGTCCCCAGTATACAGAACTATTTGCATCAAAACCAATCACCATATCAACTTTTCCTGAGATATTTTGGGTATTTTCTAAAGTATGTTTACCAAGATCTACTGTCTGTTTTTTCACAGTTTTCTTATTATTATTAATGGTGGTGAACTTAATATTTGTAAGTTCATAGCGTATGGGTTCTGTTTCCATTAAAATTTCACCTTCTGTGAAATCTTGTTCTTTTCCTTCCTGTATACAAATTAATAGGAACATGATTCAAGGAATGAAATTTAAAAATTTCTTATGATTCACAGAAATATTATTTAATATTAAAAGAAAAAATATTTCACTTCTAATAAATAACAAGAAAATGAGTATTATATAGTAAATTACTACTAGTATGTTTATATTCAGTATTTTGTCCCATCATTCTATCTATTGTTGATAATTCTTATATTTCTTTTTTATCATCGTGCATAGAAAATAATGATTACTAGCTAACCTGTGCGAATACTCCGCACAAACCTAATATTTGTATCTGATTTTAATTCATTAAGGGCTCACCACAACTTCCATTCAATAATGTATGATACGCAAAGGTTTAATACATATATTTAGTAAGCGATCAATTTATGAATATAATTTATAATCTACCATGGTTCAACCATTGCGTTTTCTTAAACTTATAATATAAATATTAGCTTTTTCCTTCATTAGATTATCATAAATTGATAAAAGCTTTTGAACATTGCTTTAAACATCTGATGACAGCAAAAGACAAACGGCTCAAATTCTCAGGGAGGAATAGTTAGTCCAATCAGGATGTATGTTACTTTATCATTAAAACAAAATCGAAAGTGTATTTTTAAAATGATAAACCCAATAATAAAGATCTAAAAGTGAAAGCTAATATAATTGAAGTATATTGACCAACATTCCAAAAAGTATTTAAAGGAAGACGTTTATACTCTTATATAAATAAATATTAAATTAACAATTTAATTAATTAAAAAGCATAAAATGTTTTTAAATTAAAAAAAATAATCAATAATTGATACATTATATACTGTACCCTGGAAAAAAAGGGTCAATTCCCAAAATCTTAAATTCTCTTATGCAACAGAATCTTTACAGTATAACAAATATTAAGTGTTCAGAACTCTAAAACTCTGCACCAAATCGTCAGATTTGATGATGTTTTTTATGTTGTGAGGAGAATTCAGTAAGCTTTCAAATACTCATACATAATGGACCAAAAAATACGTACTTTTAGAGTTTTCGCTAATTATGAATTCATTTTTAAAGTATCGATTCGTTGAGATATCACCGTCATATGGTTTAAAACTTTTACATTCACTTTTATTTAAGTCTTGGTGTAAAATTAGGAATCAAAATTATGATTCGCACATTATAATTGTATAGAGACCTCATTGGTCAAAACCCATCACTCCTGAGAGCCAGAAAAGTGTTATATATTTCAGAAATAATATATGAGATAAGATAGTCCAATATGCATAATCTATATGACTCAATAGTTCTACAACCTTAACCCTTGATTGTGTGTTTTACAAATTGTTGCATGTTTGGGGGAATCCATCTGTGAGATTAAATTTTGTATTGATCTGAAGGCAAAATTAATAAACTGATCTCTTTCAGCTTAAAAATGGTTGTATTTGAGTTTAAAAATAATTTGTTTACATGATGACATAAATAATCTGCATACAATAAAATCTAAACTATTTGGGCTGTATGAAAATTCTCATTGTTTATTGAACAAATGACAAATATAATATAGAAATAAGTAAATTCAAGATATTGTGGCAGAGAGCAATTGAGTTTTTTTTATTTTTTATTTGGTCGATTACAATAGTTCATTAAAAAAATAGACCAACACCTGTACAAATTACAATTAGCTGAATATTTGCTAAAAATGGTTTGATTTCAATGATTACTTTAATGTTTTGTAGGAAATTTGGAAATATTTCAAATTATGAGTATAATCCGAATAAATTGTATACTTTTTGAGTTACACACAAATAAAGTTTCTTTTTCTTTGTAACTTTCTCTGACCTTCTGAGGGATGTGCCTACTTTTCCCTCCTCAAGGGGATAATCTTCAAAATGATTAAATCATTGGATTTGATGAATTAACAAAGATATTGCATACTGTGAAAAAAAATTAAAAAATAATATAAAAGGTAATTTCTTTTTTTTAAATTTCAGTCTGACATTAAGTGAAATTACTTATGGAAGAGATGCTTTTCAATCATAAAACCTAGAACTATTATAACTCTCGCTCATAAATATTAAATGATAAAAGATTAAAAACTTTTTTTATAAAAATAAAATAATTACAGAACTAGCGTGAGAAACTAATATACAGACCTTAGCTGTACTGTTACCTCAGCTTTAGGCATACAAAAATATTATGTATTTCATCTCTAAGATTATGAATACCCTACAATAGGTTAATGAGCAAGTTTTTTTAATAAGTACTTACATTGTATCAAGTTTTGTAATAAGAAATAGAGCCTATCTATTCACATTTAAATTTTATTTCTTAAACAGCTTCATCTTAAATTAAAGTAAAAATAAATCCTAATAACTTCTTAAATTTGCTCTTGTTGAAGAAAGTAAATTAATTACCTCATTCACTGCTGTTAATTTAGCAAAACCACTATAATCAGTAAGTTTTCCTATTAAATGCGTAACACCCAAGCTCTCAGTATTTGGATCATCATCTAGTTTTATTTTCTTTCTAGCTACATAAGATTCTCCAGCAGAAACAGCTCCAACTGGTACATCACTCAGTTTGCTCCATTTCCCCCAACTCAGTCGTGCCCCTCCTTCTACATTTTCTAAAACTTCGTATCTGTAATTGAAAAAAAAAAATTCAGTTCCACATCATCTAATAATGAACAATGGGCAGATATTTTGGTTAAGGAGTCTAATACTCGGCTTATTGGAAATTTGAGGGAGACATTGCATTGGACAAATTGGAGTCTACACTCGAAACTCCATCATCGTCAAGTACTTGGTGGACCTATGAAACTATGTCAATCTAAGGTTCATAAATTATAAATATGTTTTAATATTACACAAATTACTTTACTTTCTTATAAATTTATCGAAAGGCCCCTCCAAAATTTTTTGTATTAGTGATGTTTTGACAAATTAAAAAATACTTTAGATTTCATAGGCACAATCGATTCTCAATAATTCGAAATCCAAGTGACTACAAGAAAAATTCGAATTATTGGAACTTTAAGTTATCAAGATGTTTGAATTATCAAGAGGGAAGAAAAAAATTCGAGTCATTAAGAGTTTTTAATATATTTTTGAAAATATCTATGAGCTTATATAAATTGTGTAAATAGTCTCATGTGAAAAATATTACTAGGAAAATATAATATTATTAAGAGGGGAAATGGTCTAAATTGAATTATAGAATGTTCTTTCCCCTTTCCCTCCGTGTTGTTATGAAAAGGATTTCGAGTTATTGAGCTATCGAAATATAGTATTTTTCGATTTACCGAATTAAACAGCTGAAGAGTTCAAATTGTCGAAAAATTCAAATTATCAAGATTTGAATTATAAGTGAATGAAGTTATTGTGCAGATTGGTACCCAGATAATTCATATCTACTTCCTCTTCTGGATGCGCAAATATATTATGACACATCTATATATATGAAAAATGGTTCATTTGATTTGGCACAATATTGGAGAGTAATTAAGGATTGGAGAAAAAATGATCCAGTATCAATTTTATCAAATTCCATCCCTATTTCCACTTACAGGTATGCAAAAATATTTTCCTCTCAACATATAAATTACAAAAATTTCCCATTTCATTCAGCCTAAAGCTAGACGAAATCTTGGAAATAATGTATAAATTATCTGGCATCAATATTTATTTAACAATTAAAATTAATGTGATTGTTAAGAATAAAATACCTGTGAAATGAATTGGGCAGTAAACATAATACAATAAGAAGTTATATTAGTTTTTAAACTTGATATGATTTATCAGATCCATTTTCATTAGATTATTCTATTCAATTTTAAATGAATTTACAATTTTTGTAAAATGTATGCATGTATGTACATTTCCTTATATACTCTATAAAAATGTGAGAAAGCTATACTGATTTATTTGGCTGACATTTTTTTGATTGTGACCTTTTTTTTTGTTTGAAAAATAGTTAATAATGTTTATTTTATTATAAAAAATAACACATGCACACACATAACAAAGCGTAAGTTAAATAATTGAAGTTTTATAAAACAAAAATGTTAAAAGGAATTACTTAACACATTCCTTTTAAAGCAAACCATTGGCTTACTAATCTACCTATTCTATTTCTTCAACCAAACAACAAGAGATGCCTAAATATACATACAACAAGCTATTCTTTTTCAAAGGATGATTAATTCTAACATGCAATTATTTCATCTTTGTCCAACAACTAACTTACTTTTCATATGTTTCTACTTTGTCATGCTGAGAAATCAAACATCCTCCACTACCAGTTTTTAATTGTCCTGGAACCCATTTTCCCATTCCTATATGTTTAGCTCTGCATATATAAATTTTCCTTTGGAAGAGGCCACCTAATTCTGAAATATCATACGTTATTTCTCGTTTTCCCACTTTACTAACATACACACATATATATTTCTATATTAAATATACGAAAAAAATAATCTTTAGTATATTTCATATTATGATAGTTTATTGTAGATTTCATGTTTAAATTTTATTCAAATACATGATCATTATCTGCTGATTTTTTTTTTAAACAGAGTTAAGACCTTTTCCAAATCGTATTCTTGTGAATATGATTGCAGATTACTGAAAATCATAATCCATGACAACCTTTTCGCTGTAGAACCAAAGAAATCGAAAATATTGACATAAGACAATGTTACTGTAATTACAAAACATTTTGTTAATTAATGATATAATAGTCTATCTTTAAAAGCTATGTTGTTGAAGACTGGTCCCAAAAAAGGCCCTTAAACAAATAAATTATATCCAGATTTTCCATTAAAAAGTTAGACAAAATAGTTTTGTATTAAAACATTAACTTAAATATTAGTCTATATAGGCCATTTCTTCTGGGTCACTAGCAGTCCTATAATAAGTATCTATTGCAAATTCACACTTAATATATGAAATCACATAGTGAAAGGAGGAAATCAACAATATTATGTAGACCAAAAAAGATTTTGATAATTAGGGTTACGATTTTTATGTAGAAAAAACTTATAATATGAACATAAGCATATGGATATTATTTCATAAGTATTTAAAAATATACGTAAATATGTAAACTTTTAATAATTTATTATGCTTTGAATTTCTAAAACATTCCATATTATAATTATTTTAACAAAAGCTGAAGCTCGAAAGCTCTACTTTATAACATATTTAAAAAAAATAAATTATGAAGAATAAAATAATAAGAAACAAAACTAATGAAATTAATCAGCCTTTTGATGGCTTCATTTAATGTTGTAAAATTCGTAGACAAATTTGCACTTATATATGACAAAGTTCTTTTTTGAGCTCATGAATTAAATAAAAAGTGGCCTTTTCCTAAATTAGCAGAATTGATCTTGAGCCTAGATGCATTGTCATATATATTTTTTAAGTTGGCTCATAATATTCTATATAATATTGTTATGACTGGTTCATAAAGCAAATTTAAGTCAGGTTATATCTCTTTCAAAATATTTACATGACAGGGAGCATTAAAAAATATCTTCTTTGCTGTAGATGTATATCTTCTTCTAAATAATAAATAATAAATAATAAATATCTTCTTATACGCGATGGAATGTATGGCCATGCAAGTCATATGCTCTAGTTCAGGATTTCTTTTTTTTTAACTTCTTTATGGAGATATTACGATCTGTCACATTCAATGACAATAGTAATAGTGATATAGAGTAGCTCATTCATTCCATACAATAAATAAAAATAATAAATGGCAATATAATAATAGTTTAGGATTAAAAACGTTAATCATACAAATTGGTTAAAAACAGTAGAACATTGAGATGAAAAATCCATTAGGTGCAAATAATATCCATGATTGGTTAATGAAGTTAGGGATTGTTTCATGATTGCACTTTCCTAAAAGTTTGCTATTCAATAGATGTAATTTTAAAGGAGTCCTAACCCCCAAAACTACCATGTTAGTGCCCGTCGTTTCATCCACATAAATACAAATCTCCTCAACTTGCTCCAGATGATTCAATAGAATAAAAGCAATTTTTTACTTCCTAAATGTCTAGAATATTTCTCAAAATATCTAGTTGGAGGCTAAATATGTAAACATAATATATTTTCGTAGTCAAATATCCAAAATATTTATGTGAAAATATAATTCAGAGTCACATATGTGAAAAAGATAAAATATTTACAATTAAAAATGTTATATTTTACTTTAAATTGGATTTCATTCTAGGAGAAAAACATTCACTGTAAAAATATGTAAAACATAAAAATTGCAACTCTGGTGATAACGGTTTATTACATATTATACATTAATATCTTTGTGAGTGTGTGTATACACAGAATCACACATTTCAGGTAAATACATATTCATCAATCCTATTTTGCTGTCAAATTGAAAATATTCAATTTCAAATTTAAAATAATATTAGATGTGAACATATTTTATATTTTACCATTTTTTACTGTCTCAAATGTTCCTTCTACAGCAGTTTCTGGATGTGAGCCTTTCTCTGCACTTATCCACCTTAATGTGCTAGAAGTGACAAGCTTGTTCATAAATATATCTGATGACTTTAGATAAACACTGGTTTCAGAAAATGCTTCCACATAACTTATAAGTATGGCTACTATAGCACACTGAAAAGATAATAATAAAAAGATACTTTTATTTTTAAAAATGTTTTATTTTCTTCTTGAGTATGTTCAAATCAGGGGTTCCAAACCCAAGGCAGGGGTGTCACAGTATGAGTTTAGAATTTACACATGACCATTAAAAATCAGCAGATTTTAAAATTGTTTATACTTTGTTATTTAAAAAAATTAAATTCTCATTCTGGGATGAAGGAGTATTTTAGGTTCAGCATGTTTGATATAGGATACAAAATTACTTATTCCAATAAATATCAGTGTGTAAATAAAAAATATTAACTGATTTGATTGTATTCTTACATTCTCAGATTCTACAAAAGGAGAAAATAAGTATTTATTCTGTAAACTAATAATTGTAACAGTGGCAGAGTATAGGGTGGGGGAATGATAAGTTCATTGGTAGACCTTTATAAAGGAAATTCTCGATAGTGAAACCCCTTATAAAAAGGCTGGGTACCCTTGATTTAAACACTGATAATTTAAATACAACTTAGTCTTATTGTTTAACAAATGCAATATTTATATAATTGAAACATTCTCATAATGGCAATCAAAAACATAATTTAGCTGCTTGGTCCCTTAAATCAATTTTACTTTTGATTTCTGTTTTATTTGATTTTGCAGGCCTTCCTATATTATCACATTATGCTGTGATTCATTAGTACTAGTAAAACATTTATTGTATTCTATCTATTTTTTTTTTCTCCAATATAAAACCATCCTTATGCAATGAAGTGACTCTGAGATGTTATTTTATAACTATCAATTAAATATTGAAACAATAAATAACAAACCACTTATAATAATCATGCCTTAAGACACATAGCACCAAATTTATCCATTTTTAACAGTTTTAGTACATAAATTCGTTAGGTTTTAAACAAACAAGGTTTATTTGGTTCTCATAGTTATAACTAGGCACATACTAATAATTAATCATTTACTGTGACCATAATTTAAAAAATATATATGAAGGTTTCTTTTTTTTTAGGATATTTAAAATACAGCGATTGTCAAACATTGACTAGAGATGTAAAAGAAATGTTGATACATCAAGTACTGATGGGCACTAGCCAATTCAAAGTGGGGAAGGAGTTTCCAGGATGAAGCCCCTCAAAAAAGTAATTTTTTTTTGCCCTTTTTCGGAAAGCTAAGCTCAAATACATCATTCAAACAAGAATAAAAACGCTGTTTACATTTAATGCAAGATTAAAATGCTAAAGCACTCTATTTTACTTATAAAAATAATAATCAATACAACAGCTTTTAATGTTACATTGATCAACTTTGGTGTTAGATGTAAGGAATCGTGGTTTTGATACCACACTTAAAAACGTCTATAAACACTGATGTTGAATAGCACCTAGGTCTCAGTTAGATTTGCCTATGAGGTACAAGTTTCTCTGATCAGTCTTGTTGCTCAAATATTGTAGGATCAGTCTTGTTCTTGATCTTGCGAAAATGCTAGATATCCATTTTACCAAGAATGTCGCCGTTTATGCAGCTAACAATATATTTTGTCTTGTCCGTATTTTTTCCGAGTCTCAATTGTGAACCGGCTTTGATCAATGTTGAATTTTTTTTTAAACTTTTATTATGATATTTACAACTGTATTAGTATGAATACATCAAGTAAATTTGTACAGAGAAATATTATTACATGAAACACACTTGTTGAGAAAACTGGTAGCACTCTAAATGTTGAATTTGTTTTATAGTTTCCGTGTCTTAAATACATTCTATTATATTTCTATATCGATAATTGAAATTTAAAAAATCATCCCTGAAAGCATTGTTGTTTCTGTAATTACCATTAAGGGTAGCCCTCCTCCAAAATTAAATTCGGAATCCGCTATCACTGATGGGTAGAATACACAGTTAATGATTTCTCAAATATCTTTACTTTAGCTTTATATCTATAAAGTTATGGTCATTCCATTAACATAATTTATAGTATGTTTCTCTGGATGACAAAAAGATTTCTGAAAGATCAGTAAAATCAGTACTCTGAATTGCTTTTTGTGAAGTAATAAAGATTAAACATATTTTGAGTTCAAATCGATGTATCCTTTAAAATATAATTATTTGTGCTTAACGATATCTTATCTATTTCTATGATCATGTAATACAATTAAAATATACAAATAATAATAAAGAAACGTTTGTTTCTCTCAGATTTCATTTTCTTAATGACTACAATTGGTTCAAGTTTTCAAATTGAACGGACGTGATGAATTAGGAAGGATGATCGGCGGTAACCATAGGAACATTATAGTTTCCAAGGCCGCCCCAGCCATATCGATCGCTGCCGTCCCTTCCTCCTCGGCATCATTAGGACACATTACATCCACTGACAACTACAATTCTACTTACCTAGTTCACACTATGAAAAGATTAATCATCCTATTTTTAGTAACTTATAAGCTACTTACTGCTTTCTTTATCTCAAGTAATTTGAGAATTGAGGTAATGCCTATATCATTCGGTCAAATATACTTGAGTACTGACCTGTAGCAATAGAGTTGGTGAATGTTTTTTATATTTAGTGGGCTATCATTTCTTTAAAGTGACTAGGTGTTTGGAGTCAGTTTCTGACTTGGTAGCCCTCAGCATTTGTAATTTTATACTGCCCTAATCTCAATTCAATTTCAATCCTGTTCAACCCTCTGCTTCATTATTCAGTACTTATTATCTTCACTAGGAACCAAAAATAAGGGAGGTTAACATGAGCTTGGAAAGAACATCTACTTCAATCCTCGATGTGGGAATGGGAATGGGACATCGAATCGTTGCTCGGAAAAGAGGTCGCGTGAAAGAAAATTATGGCTTACGTTTTGAAGAGTAAGGTTAATACTTCAGCAAACTCTATATTTTTATAATATACATGCTAAAAAACGCTCATTTGCCTCAACACCCTATTATTACATAAAGGTATTCTATTTTACTCTTAATTATCGTTGAAATGTACAAATATATATAATTTAAATTAAAAGTTACCAACTTGCCTCATTGTACCTCCACCTACAGACATATTCTTGTTTTTCTGGGGCATATGAGACAGACTTACTGTCGCCTTAGGATAGTCAGCGAGAATCAATACAGGACCTTATTTTCTTACTTATTTTACTTATGAATTATTTTTTATAATTTCAACGAATTGTTTTGTAATACAATAATTTCTTAGTAATATTTAAAAAAACAAATCCTAAAAGAATTACCAACGATAGTTATTTTATAGATAATAGACTTTTATTTAATACAAAATTGATAATTTTTAATAACATCTGGACTTTAGGTATATGATACAATAGTATTAATTCTTTTCGGGCTCCCAGTAGTGACGGATTTTGATCGGCGTCTATATATATATATATATATATATATATATATATATATATATATATATATATATATATATATATATATATATATATATATATATATATATATATATAAAGCCGGTCTCTATTCTTTACAAAAAAATGAAGTGCTGAACATTTCTCTGGCTTCTGAAAGTTTTTGTGTAATGTTCTTAAAAAAATCCCCAAAATATCCTAAATTTGATTTCTAAATCTTTTGCAGACCACTGTCATCTAAGTTTTCAAAGTAACAAATGTTAAAGTGCTTTGATAATGTTCTCCAGTGGCGCAAACAAATCAGACCTTTTCCGATAATTGATGAACACTATCAATCCATAGGTACTACACCGAATGGACGGAGTACAGAATGGGTTAGATATGGAGTTACATTATGGAATATTAATTTCAAATGAGAGTTTTAGTATTTAGCTATCCATTTTAAGTAAAACTCTTATATTACTATTTTCTGCTGTCTGTTTGGAGTCATTAATAAATAAATATTTTATATGAATCGTGTTAGAAATGTTATGAAATTATGAAAAGGCTATACATAATTATTTATGATGTATTTTGCGCTAAAATACATTTTTAAAAAATCTTAGAGTGAACCCAGTGATCATCTATCAATTTGCAGATTTTCATGATATCGTATAGCTGTTGCAATTTTTCTAGAATATTACATATGAAACATGCAGAATAATAAACGCTCCTTAAAATTTTTTACAACATATTTTTTCTTCTTAAATACCTCCCATGCAGTGCATTTTGCTTTACACAAATAATTCCACACTGATTAAAATTTTTGTATAAAGACTTCTTTTATGCGTGGTAAATCGTCGTGGCAATAAATTAAGTATAGAAATTCGATATTTTACCATCGATGGTATATACTTTGATATTATCGACTATCGATATTTTAATTTAGAATTAATATTAAAACTATAGTTTTTGGAAAGCGCTAGGAATTATGTACGATTCTAATCATTAGAAAAAGAAATATACTCATGTTGCCTGTTTCATATAGAATGTAGTGCCTAGTAAAGGAAAAATTCGATATTTCGATAATATCGATTATCGATGGCCATTCCTAAGTAGAGTTGAATAGCGCGCGTGGGATCTTTCTCACTCAGTAAACTCAATTTGCTCAAATTTGTTAGTAAGAACCAGGGAGGCACAACAACCTAGGCCCTCCCATCCTCCGCCCAAGATATTTGTTTTGTTCACTTTTATTAAAAACAATATACAATTACACTTTTAGAAAAAATAATATACAATTACACTTGCTGCGGTATGTTTCACGTTTTCCCCCTCGTCCCTTAGTCTGAAAATTCATAACCCCTTCGAAATTTGCTCCCCTCAAAAATTCATAACCCAGTCGAAATTTGCCCACTTCAAAACTTTTGTTGGCGCAACTTGCGACATGAATCCCTCTTCTGGGCAGCTGCGGTTAGAACCTTCTCAAACCAAGGCCACGAATTGTCAAAAAAAATCTGTATGGGATACAAATAAATTAGCATTTCGCTGAATCTGAACCATCGGGAATGGAAGGCATAATTTGTTGAATACAAATTTCTTAATAAAAGCTGTGGATGATCAAGATGGACAGGAGGAAGGAGGAAGGAGAGTAGAAGAATTATATATATTTTAATTAATTAAAATAATTTTTGATGCGCCTGCGTGTTAGAACATTAATATTTATATTGATACTCATATTTTAAAAATGTTTATAATATTGATGGAAATGTCGACTATCTATATTTTAAGTCCGATATTTTGAGTATCGATAGTTATAGGCCTATATTAACATCAATGACTATGTCTATATTGGGCCTTCGATGTCCTATCGCTATCAGTACAATGAATGCTGTAGTCCGAAATCTGCGGAGTAAAAGTCATGGTTATTGTTTCTCCTTAGAGAGTCAAATCCATACTAATAGTGCATAATATCTTAAAACAAACTGAACCCATTATGCAGCCTAAATTTCATCACAATTGATTCATAAATAAAGCAATTTCTTTCTTTTTTTTTTATTAATTTTGAATGCTTTCAAACGATACAAAAAAAAAATAAATAAAATTTGAAATGAGATATTTTAACTTTACTGTAACAATAGTTATTCAATTTTCAATCAATTTATTCGTTAACATTCATGTATTTATTTTCTTTTATCTATTTTCTTATCATGTATTTATTTTCTTTATCTTTCATTTCTGTATCTGACAACTTCAACTTCAACAACTGACAACTTCTTCGTAATTTATATATACTTATATTTATTTTTTATTTTATTTTTATATTTTCAACATGTTTGTATCTTTTGTAGCCCTGAAGACGACCTGCAAAGTGGATCGAAACGTCGGCAAAAATTAAAATTATTTATATATTTTAATTTTTTTTTATTTTTTTGACCGCACCCTCGACTAATTCCTTCTCATATCATATCAACGGTCAACCAACTCTACATCAAAATTTGAAATAGATGAATATGCAAATATTCAAGTCATTTGGTTCAGTCGTTAATGCCAACAGTCTCCAAACCTACAACCTGCTTATTTAGAGGAGTTATTTTGAAAAAAGAAAATCGTCGTGAAAATAAACGAGACTTTTTAGCTGGTTCAGTTTTCACTAAGGAATCCTTTGGCTATATGTTTGTATGTTACGTAATTGTTCGTAATGATGATTGTGCTTGTAGACGTTCCTAGCCGGGAATCACCGAGGGGGAAAGGAACAAACTTTGTCGCCTCATTTCTGATTAATTGTATTAGTAATGTGCTCAGTGATGACTTCATATATTAGACAGTACTTTTTCTAAAATCTTCTAAGTTCTCCAGTGGTATTTATTACTCCTTTTTCCCAGATTTTTTTTTCAACTTGGAAAAATATAAAATGATAAAATATTTTTCCAAGATAAAAAAAAATCTCTCTTAGTTCATTACCAAATCCGTTAATAGTTTATATTTATCCGTTTTTTTATTACAGATAACCACAGATGCTACCATGAAATCTGGAGGGAGGTTTTGAAATACATATACCAAGAACACCAGTAACGTGAATTGATCGTTTGTAATTTTGTGCTATTATTTTGTAGTTTTCAAACAGTTTCAAGTATTTTCTCTTGGAATCATGAAAACTGCCTCTACATTGACTTACCTAAGTTTTTTTGGGTTCCGGTTCGGTACTATTTTTGGAGGCTCCTAAAAATATAATTTTTTGTAATAAAGCTATCCTTCAATGAAAAACCAATCATGGACCTTACTTCTAAAAAAAAAATAATAATAAATCAGACAATTTCTAAATAAAAACAATAACATTCTCATCTGATAAAAAATGTTTATAATTTTTTTACTTAAAGTTATCATTTAACTTTTAAAAAATTGTGGAGCCCTCTAAGGAAGTGGGGTCCGGGACAGATCGCTCTCAATCGGCTTCTATATCTTATATGTTACTTAAACTAAAGTATTCCAATGTGGACAATTTATTGGTTTCTTTATGCTCTTCTACAAAAACTATCTCTTTTCGTAGTTCTGTTTAACAGTCGAAGCTACAATTATGATAGATAAGCTCGAAGGAGGATGATGTCATGTTAAAACCTTGAAGAGAAGTATGTCGCAGCCTATCACAAAGTGGCTGTATCATCACTGTAGGAACGAGACTAAGTGATGGCTCAGAAGCCGCTGGGCCTAGGCGATAATAATGCCGATGGATTTAAAGCTTACGTCACTCCAGCTCCGAACCCAGGGTAACTGTGGCTAGTTGAGCCTTATTGGTTGGTTCGTCTAAAATGGTTTTCATTTTTTATCCGGTTGTTTTGATAACTTGAAATTTGCGATAAGTTGCATTATATCGAAAATAACACAGAGATTGAAATGAAATGTTAATTTTTATTTATAATCAGTTTCGACATGATTTGAATATTTATTTCTTGATGTTTTTCTGTTATCTGTTTTCATGTAACGTTTAATTGAAATAACATTCAAAAGAATTTTTATTTAAATACTTTTATTTAAAATTTTTGTTAAAGCAATCATAGGCGCATACCTCGGAGGGGGAGAAGGCGATCGGGGAAGACCGAATATAAATGTTGAGGGAGCGAGAATATGTTTTAGTCCTTCCTACCAATAATTAGAGGTTAAAAAATCCATAATAATTGAGCTACATGAATTAATAAAATATGTAAACTGAAATCGATTAAGAAAAGTCGACTAGCTGGCTAGGCTGGGGCCTAGTAGTAGATATGTAAATATTTTATTGATACCTAAATTTTACTCTTGTTAAAACTTTCATTTATATTCAAAGATAACATAATAATATATATCAATATATCCTAGTATTTTATGATTCGATCATCCCTCAATTTTCACGTGATATTCAAATGAATTAAAAATATCTTAGATTTCTTATTGTGTATAACCTCAAATAAAAAAACAACGTTTTTCACAGTCCGACTAGATTATTATTATTATTTTTTATTCTTTATCACTTTAA